AATTTGTTTAGTCCTTAAAACAAACCAATTATGAGCATGATCTTCCAACAACAAAGGCAAAGAAAGTTTACGGAGCAGTTGAGTATGGTAGTGCACATCTGCCACCCCAGTGCTCAGAAGCATTGTGCAGGAAGATTGTAAGTTCAAGCTCAGCCCGGGCTACACAGCAACATCCTGTCTCAAAAAGTAAGAGAAGCAGGCTGGAAAGATGGCTCAGTGGTTAAGAGTGCTTGTTGCTCTTGCAGAGGACCTGGGTTCAATTCCCAGCACCCATATGGGGTTCACGACCATTCATAACTCCAGTTCCAGGGGATCTGACTCCTCTTCTGATCTCCCTGGGCATCAGGCATGCACATGGTGCACAGATATACACGCAGGCAAGAAACTCACCCACGTTAAATAAACAACTCTTCTTTTAAAAACACAAAGCAAAAGAAAAGATAAAGTTAATGAGTTGTCCAAGATCACTCAGCCAGCAACTGATCACTGATATTTGAATCAAATTGTGTGAAAAGTGCTGATATTAGGGTAAATGTTTTTATTCTTACTGTAACTTTAATTGTTCTGTATTTTAAAATATTTTTATTTTTATTATGTATATATGGTGCACAAATATACATTGTCTGCATGTATATTTGTGCACCATATATACATCTGGTACCTGTACCTACAAAGGCCAGAAGAGGGATCCCCTGGAACTGGAGTTACCGGCAGTTGTGAGCGGCCATGTAAGTGCTGAGAATCAAACCCAGATCCCCTGGAAGAGCAGCCATGTGTGTGCTGTGGGTGTGTGAATGCATGCGTGTGAGTGTGCATATGTACTATGGCTGTGTGTATGTATGTGTCTGTGTGCATGCTATGAGTGTGTGAGTGCATGTGTGTGAGTGTGGGGGTGTGTGCATATGTGCTATGGGTGTGTTTGTGTGTGTCTGTGTGCATGCTATGAGTGTGTGAGTGCAGGTGTGTGTGTATGTGCTATGTGTGTGTGTGTGTGTGTGTGTGTGTGTGTGTGTCTGTGTGCATGCTATGAGTGTGTGAGTGCAGGTGTGCCCATGCCACAACCACTGAGCCACTCCAGCCCCCCTCCAATGTTTTTTAAATCATATTGATGAATTGATTGGTTGATTGTGTGTGTGCGTGTGCTCATACACGATCGCAAGTACATGCACACACACACAGATATACACACTCATGTGCCACAGTTTGCCTGTGAAGGTCACAGGAAAACTTGCAAGACTCGATTCTCTCATTCCACATGCCTGGGAAGAAGTGGGGAACCCAAGGACCCAATGACCCTCCCCATTCCCTCTTCCACGAAACAGTGTCAACAGCCCACAGGCCCAGTTGTGATGAATTTGCATGCAGGCATGGCTGATCTGGTGGAGATAGCAGCTGCTTTGCTGAGCAGACGTATTCTATCTACACTTGGCATCTTGTGAGAGTCTGTTTCTTGCTGGCCCAGGTCTCATCCTGCCTTCTGCCAGATAACCAAATGCTTTGGCTACACAGGAAGTCCTTGGCCCAGCACAGGTGGCAGGAACTCAAAAATACCCAGCCTGGTTTAAAAAGGCTGCAGTAGAGATGGGGCCAGCGTTGCAGTGGGGTGGAAGGCATTCTAAATGGAGGGGGTGCGACCCGGCCTGAGTGTCATGCAGCTAAGTTTGGTCCTTCATATGGAAGGAGCAACAAGAAATGACCACATGGGTTTTTATTTTACAGAACTGAGGATTGAACGCAGGGGCTTGTACACGTCATGCAAGCTCTCTACCACTGAGCCACACCTCAGCCCCTCACTGGGGGATTCTAGGCAGGTGCTCTACCACTGAGCCACACTCCAGCCCCTCACTGGGAGATTCTAGACAGCTGCTCTATTTCTCAACTACTTGATTTGGAAGAGGGAAGTTGTAGGATCCAATTTGCGTTTCAGAAAGATATCTGGCAGCTGATTAGTAGGTTGATTAGAGAAGGACCATCCTAGAGCCAGAAAATAAGTAGGAAACAGCAGTTGGTATAAATTAGAGGGGTAGATTTACACTGTATCCAAGAGATAGTGATATAAACTGCTAACCTTTCACCGAAATCCACCCTCCCTAGCCCAGACAGAGTCTGGCCTTGTAGGCCAAGCTGTCCTTCAACTCCTGGATTTAGGCTTAAAGCCACCCACCACCATGCCTGCCCATCATCCTTCTTTGCTTTTCTAATAATATTCTAGATTAATACATGTCTAGCAACTGCATACCCCAGCCTTCCTGTGTCTGATCAGCTGTAAGCAGAGGGGAAGGACTTGCAGCCCCAGGGTTCTAGAATGTTTCTTTGGGGTTATTTCTTAAGTCCTTGCTTGCACTTGTTTTTTTTTCTTTTAATGTGTAGCCCAGGGTGGCCTCAAACCCTCGATCCTCTGGCCTCTGCCTCGTTGGCATTTCATCCCAGGGTGTACAGCTTCAACTAGCACTTGTTCTGTTTCTCTTTGCTTTCTTTGCCAAGCCAAGAGCTCACCACGCAGCCCAGACTGGCCTTGAGCTCACAGCAACTCTCATGTTTTTGATTCTCAAACACTGAGATTAAAGGCCTAAGCTACCATGCCCAGCTGCTCTCTTTGTTGTAGTTGGGTATGAGAGGACGAGGTGCTCCTGAGTGGTTGGTGGTTAGTCTGTACTAGTTAGTCTAAGGCTGACAGGAGAAGATGCTGGGGGAGATGGCAAACCTAATTTGGGAAGGCTGGACGTGGAGGTGCTGTAATCTCAGCACTGGAGAGGCCACGGTAGGAAAAAAGATTTCTTTCTTTCTTTCTTTCTTTCTTTCTTTCTTTCTTTCTTTCTTTCTTTCTTTCTTTCTTTCTTTCTTTCTTCCTTTCTTTCTTTCTTTCTTTCTTCCTTTCTTTCTTTTTCTTTCTTTCTTCCTTTCTTTTTTCTTTTCTTCCTTCCTTCTTTCCTTTCTTCCTTTCTTCCTTTCTTTCTTTCTTCCTTTCTTTCTTTTTCTTTCTTTCTTCCTTTCTTTTTTCTTTTCTTCCTTCCTTCTTTCCTTTCTTCCTTTCTTCCTTCTTTCCTTTCCTTTCTTTCTTTCCTTTTGGTTTTTGGAGACTGGGTTTCTCTGTGTAGCCCTGACCATCCTGGAACTCACTCTGTAGCCCAGGCTGGCCTCGAACTCAGAGATGTGCCTGGCTCTGCCTCCCGAGTGATGGGATTAAAGGCATGAGCCACCACACCTGGCTTAACTTTTTCTTTTCTTAAGATTTACTTTTATTATTTATGTATGTCTCTGTCTGTGCATGTGAGTTTGGGCTCATGGAGGCCAGGGTGTGGGATCCCCGGGGCTGGAGTTGCAGGAGGTCGTGAGTCACCTGACATGAATGTTGAGAATGAGCTCCTGTCTTCTGCAAGAGCAGCAAGTGCAGTTCTTAATGCTGAGCCGTCTCTCCAGCTCTGTGGAATACCGCTCTAGTTTGAAGCCAACCTAGACTACTTCGTTGAGATCAAATGTCAAAAAAATTTAAACGGTACAGTGGTGTCATACACCTTTAGTCCTAACACTCAGGAGGCAGGGGTAGGCAGGAAGGTCTCTGTGAGTTCGAGGCCAGCCTGGTCTACAGATTGAGTTCCAGGACAGCCAGGGCTACACAGAGAAACCCTGTCTCGAAAAAACAAACAACAAAATGTAAGTTGTGGAAAGTCGCTCAGTTGACAGGGTGCTTGCCTAGCACACACAAAGCCCTCAGTTCGATCCCCCCACCATGTAGAACTTGACCTGGTGGCGCACCCCTGCAGTCCCGGAACTTGTAATGCAGAGGCAGAAGAGCAGAAGTTCAAGGTCATCCTGAGCCACACTGTCTCAAAGACACTAAAAAAATTCTCTTCGTTGGGAATATGTTGAGGTGTCTATTTATAGCAGTGTGCAATCTGTGTGTGTGTGTGTGTGTGTGTGTGTGTGTGTGTGTGTGTGTGTGTGTTGCTCCTGGGCTCACCTATGCATGTATATTCCGATGCCTGTGGTCCACATTAGGTGGCTTCCTCTATTACCCACCTCTTTTGGTTTGGAGACAGAGCCTCTCACTTGGCTTGGAGCTTGCCATTTTAGCCAGGCTGGTTATTCTGCAAGTCCTCAGGACCTGTCTGTCCCTGTTGCTCAGAGCTGCGGTTGTGGGTGTGTATTGACTGTCATGGCTTTTTTTTTTTTAAACATGGTGCTAGACAGGCAAACTGAAGTCCTCCTCCTTGCACGGTAAACACATACACATGGAGCCATCTTACCAGCTCCTCTCTCTGCTGAGTGTCTCTTCAAGGAGGGGGGCGGGGCTGACGAGAAGCATTTGTTGATTTCCATGATGTATATACTCCAGCAGAGACTGACTTCCAGTTCCTACAATCCACATTGATTCACTGAAGAAGCAGTTAGGGTGTGAGGTGGACAATGGGCTCTCCCGAGCTGGCATGAGCTGGCACTAGCTGACGCCAACACGCCACGGTTCGCGTATCCAAGTGCGGATATTCAGCCTGCCATTGGACAGACGCCAATTCTGCACACTGAGAAGATTCAGCTGGGCTTTGAGTGCTGTTAGAGGACTAAGTGGGTAAAGAGGCCGAGAAGATGGTACAGTCAGTAAAAAAATGCCTGACGCACGAGCGTAAGGACCTGAGTTCACATCCTAAACACACGCAGCGCGACGCCAGGCATGCTGGCAGAGGGGATGGTAAGAGGGACAGCGGATGTCTGGGGTCACTGGCCAGCAGCCTAGCTCATCAGTGGACTCCAGGTTCATTGAGAGAACCCTGTCTCAACAAATAAGAGTGTGATAGAGCGAGATGCCTGGCTTCGACCTGTGGTCTCTATCTACATGCGTGTGCACCTACACACACACACGCACACACACATGTGCACACACACACACACACACACACACACACACACACACACACACACGCACCAGGAACAAATACTAAATATTCCAATAGGCAACACTAATTGGACTCAGTGGGGTGCAGAAAAATAAAAAGGAAAAAACATGAAAGTAGAATGGGTGTGTATTGGGGGTGTGTAAGACAGAGGGAAGACAGGAGCTGGGGTAGATGTGATCAAGATACTTGTATGAGCCGGGCGGTGGTGGCACACGCCTTTAATCCCAGCACTCAGGAGGCAGAGGCAGGTGGATCTCTGTGAGTTTGAGGCCAGCCTGGTGTACAGAGAGAGATCCAGGACAGCCAGGGCTACACAGAGAAACCCTGTCTCAAAAAACAAAAACAAAAACAAAAAACAAGATACTTGTATGAAATAGTCTTTGACGAAATAAAAGTTATCCTAAAAATAATAAAAATAGTAAATTTTTAAATTGGGGTTAGTCTAGGAGGATGACTCGGTGGATTTAGGGCACTTACTGGCATCTCAGACAGTGTGAGCTTCATCCCTGGATCCCACCCGGCAGAAGGAGAGGGCGGACTCCTGCAAGTTGCCCTCTGATCTCCACAGGTGCACACGGCAACCTGTGCCCACACGCACACACTGCACATCATTAACACACACACAATAATAATAAAACAAAATACAAAATGAAATAATAACTAAAGTGGGTTCGGGGTGTGTAAGCTGTGTAAGCAGAAGGCGACTGAGAGATGAGAAAGAGATCACATGTGAGTGAGTGCGTGTGTGCCTGTGTGCGTGTGTGTGTGTGTGTGTGTGTGTGTGTGTGTGTGTGTGTGTGTGTATGGAGCTGTGTATATGTGCAGATGTGCCCACTCTGTGTGTATGTGTGTGCATATATGTGGAGGTCAGAGGATACCTTGCAAGAGTTGGTTCTCTCCTTCCACCATGTGGGTCCCAGGGATCAGAAGGAGGCTTGGCACCAAGTGTCTCCATCCCCTGAGCCATCTTGATGTCCCCAAAGGAGGATCTTCATGGAGGGAGTGGGGGGTGGGGAGGAAGAGGGTGGGGGAATTCATGTGACGTGAAGCAGAAAGAAGGGCTGTTTGTGAGAAGGAAGGTAGAGGAGGGGGGTTGGGCAAGGGCAGTGGGGGAGGGGATGAACAGAGTGCCATGACAGTGTGTATAAATGTCAGAACGAAACCAGTCACTTTGTATGCTAACTTTAAAAATTAACTTAGAGTTCATTAAAGGAACAAAAAAAGCAAGTTATTTCAAGCGTTGTTGAGTATGTCTGTAATCCAGCACTCAGAAGGCTGAGGCAGGAGGATCAAGAGCTCAAGGCCAGCCTGGGCTACATAGTGAGTCCCTACTCAAAAAAACCCAATATATATGAAAAAAAAAAAACCTAAAGTAAGTGAATAAGTAGAATGAAAAGTAGGCATCAGCTTGGGATATTATCCAGTGGCAGGGCACTAGCCTGAAGTCCTGGGCCTGATCCCCATCTCCTTTGCCAAAAAACCACAGTAGACATTTGACTCTCCAGGATCTTCCCATGCTGCTCCATCCTTCATGACTTCTCGAGGCCTCGATTTCCAAAGCCTTAGCCACTTAGGCCTCCAACTGCCTCACTGCCCACACGTCCTCACGTCACTTATGTGAGTTTTCCTGGGTACATAGGAACAAAACATCTACCATAGAAACAAGCCCACCAAGGGGCTGGGAAGACAGCTCCCATAGTAAGCACACAGATATGAGTTTCATGCGTAAAAGCCATGGGAAATAGCAGGGCATGGTGGTATGTCTAAAATCTCGGTATTGGAGAGCTGAAGGCAGGTTGCTCCCTGGACTCACTGGGCAGCCAGACTTCCTGATTCGGTGAGTTTCAGGTCAGTGAGAGACAAGCTGGGAGGCTTAAGAGAGAAGTTGTTGGGTAAGATCACTTGCTATGAAAGCACGATGACCTGAATTTGAAACTTAAGCACCCATGGAAAAAGATGGGCGTGTCCATGCACCTCTAGCCCCAGCCCTGTGGGAGACAGAGACGTGAAGACCTCTGAGGGTTGCTGGCTGCCAGCCTAGCTCTAGGTTCAGTGGGAGATCCTGCCGCAAGGGAAGAAGGTGGTGAATGATAGAGCAGGACCCCTGACACCGCTCTGGCCTCCATGGGTACACCAGCACCAGAACACACACGCACCCCCAAAAAGAAAAGGATGAAACAAACGTGGACGGCATTCCTAAAGAACAACACCCAAGCTCTTCATAGATCTGTACACATGTGCATGTCTCTCTGTACCCACAGACTCACCCGCATACACATAGGAACTTAGAAAGAAGCAACTTGGGCCAGGTGCGGTGGCGCACACCTTTGATCACAGCGCTCAGGAGTCAGAGGCGAGAGGATCTCCATGAGTTCAAGGCCAGCCAGGTCTATAGTTTGGTAAACTAGCGAGTTTATATGAATTTACTGGGGGAGAATGAGTGTCAGCTCAAAAAAGATACATCCCTGGAGCTCCCTGCCCAGCCTTCAGGCAGCTCCACCAGAGAGTCTCATTTCCCCAGCTGTTATGAGCTGCTCATATAAGCTTGGGGGAGGGGCCTTGCGGGACGTGTAATGTTGGTAAGTGCGCTGAGCCTTGCAGGTTTCCTTATGATCCTCCCGCCTCCCTCCTGCCAGGAAGGCTTCCATGTGGAGGACACGGCTAGGCACAGTCACTCTCTCAGGCTCCTCTCAGCTCCTTGCAAATGGTCTAGACAAGGCTCCCAGTGGCCTCTGTGCTGCTCAGCTGGTGTGCACATCTCAGAGCAGTCTTGGTTCATCTATCTGCGGCACGGAACGACCACTCTTCTGCATTGCCTATTGAGAACATTTTTGGATTCCAGAACCCCACATTCTCCCAAGTTTCTCCGCAGCTCTCTGGCTTCCTGCTTTGGCAGTTTGGAGAATGGCTGACCTCTAAATGTTGGAGTTCCTTAGAGGTTGGTCTTTGGCCATTTTTGTCTTTTCCCTGAGCCTTTTTTTTTTTTTTAATGACCTCATCTGCTTGAATGTGCCACTCACTCTTAGGGCTCCATTCCAAGCCAGATTTCTGTGTTGAGTCCCAGATCAGCTTCTACACTACACAGTGAACATTTCTCTCTGTGCCTCAGATCTAAAACTTCTACCTTCCTCCTCAAGTGTCTCCTCTCTCAAATATATTGTGTTCCCTAGCGCAGTGAGGGAAGGGAATCGATAAAAACCGAGCACCAGGGGATGTCCGTATGAAGACGCAGTAATGGAATCCATCTCTATGTACGTACCTTCAGGCCGTGCGGTTGACAGTCTTGAGTGCCGGCTCGATGGGAGTTAGAGGATCACCTGGGAGACAGGCTTCCAGGTGTGTCTGCCAGGGTGTTTCCGGAAAGATTTAGTGGAGGTGGGAAGACCCACTTTGGGTGTGGGCGGTATGACGGCATCACAGCACCAACTGAAGCCCTGGACTGAATCAAAAGGAGAAAGCGAGCGAGCGAGCATCAGTGTTCATGTTCTCTGCTTCCTGGCTGTCCGTAAACAATGTGGCCGGTTCCTCGTGCCCCCGCCATGAAGCTTTCCCGTCGTGGTGGACTGTGTCCCCTCAAACCGCAAGCCCAAACGAGCCCGTCCTTCCCTCCCTAAGCTGCTTCCGGCAAAGCAGCTCATGCTGGGCATCCACACTGACTTTTCTTCCCAGGCTCACCTTCCGCCTTCCTCCTCTGTAGACCACTGTCTCCTTGAAAGGTGAGGGACCGCACTCTCAGTGCCTACGCCAGAGCCTCCAGGACGTCACCAGGGCTCAGGAGATATCGGCTCAGTGAGCTAAATTAAGGGAAGCCATCAGTGTAGAAATCAGCACGAGAGGCGGCAGTTCGGCAGAGGTTGGTGCTAGGCAGCGAGCCCACTTAAGGGGTCTCCAGGAAGTCACTTTGCCCCCTTTGGACTTTAAGGCAATGGGAGTGAAACTATAAGGTCCTTTCCGAATTCCAGTGCTGACTCTATTATCTATATACATCACAGAATTCACAAGTGCACACATGTGCAATCTGTGAATAATGAATGTTGCTTAAAAACAAACAAACAAACCAAAAACAAAAACAGAAGCTGGTGCACGATTTTAATCCCAGCACAAGGGAGGCAGAGGCAGGAGATATCTGAGTTCAAGGCCAACCAGGTCTACAGAGCAGAGTTCCTGGACAGCCAGAGCTACACAGAGAAACTGTCTTTAAAAACAAAACAAAACAAAAAACTGAATGACTAGTGTTGCCTCTTTGTTTTGCTTTATGTCCTGTGTTTTTGAGACATGGTGTTGCTATGTAGGTCTGGAGTTACAAGTGTGGGCAACCACTTCTGATGACTAGGTGGTTTAAGTGGGTAGTGGTGGATGGTGTCTTCCTCAATTACTCTGAACCTTACGTTTATTTTATTTTATGTGTATGCATATTTTGCTTGTACGTATGTGTGTGCCTTGTATGTGAACCTGGTGTACCAGAAGAGGGCATTTGATTCCCTGAAACTGGAGTTACAGAAGGTCTTGAGCCACCATGGAAGTCCTGGCAACTGACCCCAGGTCCTCTGGAAGAGCAGAAGTGCTTTTAACTGCGGAACCACCTCTCCACCTCCCACCTTGATTTTTGAGACAAGATATCTCACTGAACCTTGAACTCTCTGATTTAGTGAGATTGACTGTCCAGCAACCCCTCAGGTTTGCCCCAAGTTTCAGTTTCTGTCTCCAGATGTTGGGACTGTAGGCATGACCATTGTGCCTGGATTATTTATTTATTATTTATTTATTTATTTATTTATTTATTTATTTATTTATTTATTTATTTATTTATTTATTTTTAAGCGAGACAGGGTTTCTCTGTGTAGCTTTGGAGCCTGTCCTGGAATTCACTCTGTAGCCCAGGTTGGCCTCAAACTCACAGAGATCCACCTGCCTCTGCCTCCTGAGTGCCGGGATTAAATGTGCGCCGACACTGCCCGGCCTGTATTTTTTTTTTTTTTAACATGTTCTTGGGGATCAAACTCGGGTGGTCATGTTTGCATGGCAAGAGCTTTGCTGACTGAGTCCTCTCCCAAGTCTCCCCCCAACCACACACTATGTAGCCCAACCTGGCCTCCAACTCAACATGCAGGTAAAGATGAATGTGAACTCTTGATTCTCCTGTCTTTATAAGTGTCCACGAAACCCACCACACTCTATTTTGAATAATGTGTTTAGATCCACTCAACTATGAGGACTGTCCGAAGGCCATCCGGCAACTTGAATTTTCCCCAAACACTTTCACTATCTACGGTGATCAGTGTCCCAGCAACCCAGGAGAGTTGAGGATAATCGTCAATGCACTTAACTGAACAGGTTTGGAAACCAAAGTCTCAATCTTTTATTGTGCTCTCTCGGTGGAGGTGCTACACGATGAAGTTTCCTTCAACGGCTGCACAGTCAAGTTATGAAAGCTGCCTGAGATCGTGATCTCAACTGATCCGGAAACAGTATCGTGAGGATTAATAAGCAAAGTATAGGCTGGAGAGGCGGTTCCGTGGATAGAACCTTCGCCTAGCATTCTGGAAGCCCAGAGTTCCACCCTGCATAAATCAGGCACGGTGGCGCATACGTTCTAATCCCAGCACTGGGGAGGTAGAAGCAGGCACGGAGGTGCATACATTCTACTTGAGAGGTAGAAGCAGGGGGATTTATTTATCAGATCAGGGTCATCCTTGGCTGTGTGTAGTGGGCTCACGATACAAAACAAAACCCTTTAGCCGTGCAAATCAATGAATATGAACTGTTATTGCTGCGGTATGAGGCCTAGTCTAGGAGCCTACAACCCCCCACAGGGCTGCGCTGAAGAACTGTTCGGGTGTTATTCCCTCTGACTGCATTTTCCGGGCTCCTAGCGATCACCAACCGCTGTCTTTTTTCGCCCCTCGGTCCTACACTGGTTTGGACTCCTCTAGCTCCGCCTCCGGGAAGGGGGCGTGGCCTCACCCAGAGGGGCGTGACCAAGCCGAGAACTGGGCCTTCAAGCCTCCAGTCTGGAGCCGCCCAATGTCGGGGGGTGTGGGGGGTGTGGGGGGGGGCGGAGGAAGAATGGAAGGAGGTCGGTCACGTGACCGGAGAGGGGGGGTTTCACCCTCCCCTGTGCCTATACCACCTCTGCCGTCCCTGGGGAGGGTGTTCTTTGCCCCCTTTTTCAGGAAGCCAACCACTTACCGTGGTCCCGGCTGAGTTGGAAAACCACGGCGTGGTGCTTTTCCCGGGACGGAGCCCGTGCGCGCCCCTGCCGCGGCGCGGTCGCCTCCCCACGCCCCCCCCCTGCACTCGGGCAGTTGGTCTCGCCCAGCCTGGCCCTGGGCGCGGCGGCGGCGGCCGCGTCACTGGCGGGCGGGATCCCTCCGCTCTGGGGAGAGCTGCGCTGGACGGTTGAGTTGGGGTGACTGAGGGAATCCATCCGCGCCGCCGCCGCCGCCGCCGCCGCCGCCGCCTCCGCCGCGGAGGAAGACAGGACCTCCCGCGCTCCTGCAGGCGACCCCTTGGCAGAGTCCCACCGCCCCCAGGTACCTCCGCTGACAAAAGGAGTCCTCCTCGCCCCCAGCCCCAAATTCCCACGGGTGTGTGCGCGGCAGGGGGAAGCCCCCGTTCCTTCCGTCTCCCGGGTTTGGCTCTTGGGGAACGGACGTAACTCCCCAGACCTCCCCTCCCTTCCTCTGGCCCGGTCGCTGCCGAACCCGGAAGGGGAACTGGGGGGGACCCTCGGCTTCAATAATGCATGCGTTCCCTGCGGTATCAGCGGCGATTTTTTTTTTTTTTTTGACCCTAAACCCCCGTCCCAGCCCCGCTTGCCTCTTGCTCCCTTCATAGCTGGGGGGCTGAATTCCGGGTTTCTTCTCAGTCCTGTCCCGCCCCCTTGCCCCACCACCACCCCGCTGCCTGCCCCTGGGTAGCAGCCCTCGTGCCCACTCGTTTCAAAGCCTTGCTTGCATTGGACTTGCAGAACTCCAGAATCCTAGGAGATACAGCCAAGGCCTCAAGGCCACCCTTGCCTTCGTCTCCACCCTACTGTCGCTCCCTTGGTTTGGGCTCTGTCTGTGTTTTTTTTTTTTTTTTTTTTTTTCCTTCTTTTTTTCTGAGTCCCCTACCCCACACTGGAGAGCTCAGCAGCTTATTCTTTGGACAAATCCCTACCCCAAGTCTAGCTCCTAGTCGCCTGTCCCCTTTGCCCAGCCTTCTTTTGGGCAAAATGGAGGTCCTAGGAACTGGAGGGCCTGGCCCATTGCACTTCCCAGCCCCGCACCAGCCTGCGCCTTCCAGCTGCCAGATCTGAGGACCCTTCCTCGTCTCCTCTCACACCCGCGGAGGCGGTGGCACCCCCCCTTTTTTTTGTTTGGGGGCTGTGGTGGTTTTATTCCTAGAATCTAGGCGCTGCTGAGGTTGTCTTGGAGGAGAAGGGACTCTTAGGGCTAGGAGCATGGCCCCCGACCCAGTGGCTTCTTCCTGGCCTGTTTTCCCTCTGCCCCAGGCCTGTGTCATTGCGGCTAGACCTGGGCTGCTGGAAGCTGGAAGGAAGGAGCGTCTGTCCACAGCTGGCGTGGGGTGGTAGCGGTGTCGTTGCCCGCTCCCATCTCCTTGTGGAGGGGCATCCCCTGGCACTGGCGCAGAAAGCTGAACTCGCAGAGGGGGAAATGTCGCTGGGGAAGAGGAACGCCCAGTGGTTGGGGGAAGTGGGAGCTGGGTGGGGGACGCCTGGGTCGCCAGAGTGCAGTGTGCAGGGCCAGATCGCACAGGTGTCCCGGGGAAGGCAGGACGTCGGAGGCTGGAGCGGTGCCAGCTAGGCCTCGGGGGCTCCTGGGCGTAGAGCTGGGCTCTTGGGGTGCCTAGGGGCATCGGGCCAAGCCGTCTGGGGCCGCTTGCCGGCGCCTGGGAGAGAGCAGCTCCGCGCCCCGGGGCCGAGGGCCTCTCTCCGGAGCCCTAATTACTTCTGAGCGGCTCCCACGGGCTTTGTGCGGGCGCGGCGGGGCGAGCGACCTCGGTGCTGGAGGGAGCAGGCTGCTTTGGGGGCTTGCCTGCCCCGCTGCTCGCAGCGGCTAATGGGGTGCAGCCGGCCCGGAATGGGGATTATCCCGGGTTGAGCCGTCCCGAACCTATTAGTGCTCAATCGGCTTTCCCCAAATCCTGTAAACAGCCGCCCTGGCCGGTTCTGGGGAAGAGGCGGGAGGCTAGGTCGGGCGGGGGCGATGGGGGCCGGGGGTGGGGTCACCCACCCTACAGGTCTCTGCCGCGGATGCGGTTGCCTTGGCAACGAGGCTAGGGTGGGGGCCCTTCACCAATGAGGTGCTCTCAGTCCGGGTGACGGTTGCCTAGGCAACCCCACGAACAGCCTAGCTTCTCCCCTCAGCCCCCCCATCTCCACCTCTGTCTTAGCTGGGGGTGTGTGTGGAGGGTGTGCGGTGTGGGGGTGCGTTTAAAGAGGCACCGCCCCTTTTTAAAATTAGGTGCTGGGAGGGCGGCGCCTTGTGCGGGCTGGGGCGGACGCCAGGTCTGTTTTCGAAGGGACTCCCCCCCCCCCATCCCCAGTTCCTGCCGCCCGAGTGTCCCGCCCGGGCTGCTGTCCGAGGGAGGGGTTTCCCCCGTTCTTCCTCTTGCACTTCCCACTCCGTTTCCGGGGGCCCGGGAGGAAGATTGGGGAAGTCGTCTGTTCCTCGGCAACGTCTCTCGGGCGCCGGAGACCCCAGTCCTGCCCCGGGTACCGCGTCCTCTGCTCCCCCTGCCCAGCTGACCCCTTCCGGGCCGCGGGCTTCCACCCCGCCTTTCCCGGCTGCTTCCCGGGCGGTCTTGGGGCCTGACGTCAGCCTTGCATCCCCCCTCCCAGGCCTCGGGCCAGCGGCCAGGAGCTGCCTCCCCCAGCCCCCGTCCCGCGGCCCCCAGCCGCCCCCAACCCCGCCCCACGGGCCCGGCGCCATGAGTGAGCTGGAGCAACTGAGACAGGAGGCCGAGCAGCTCCGGAACCAGATCCGGGTGAGGAGGGCCTGGCGGCTGTGATGGGGAGGCCGAGCCCGGCCAGGCGTGGCTTGAGTGTGCTGCTTCCCTTTGACCTGAGCAGAGTGGGTTGCCTGGGGCCGGGGTGTGTGTGTGTGTGTGTGTGGTGTGTGTGTGTGTATGTGCGCGTGTGTGTCCTGCAGGGTGAGAGGAGAAAGGGATGCTAATCTCCCAATGTCTCCGTGTCATCCTCCCTTGCCTCTGCCTTCTGTTTTCGTTACTCCTTCCTCTCCGCCCTCCTTCCCGTCTCCTGTTCTGCCCATCACTTACAGGACGCCAGAAAAGCATGCGGGGATTCCACACTGACCCAGGTGAGGTGACTGCAGGGCTGGGGCGGTGGGGGGCACCGAAGGGAGGGCACTGGACGGGCGTCTGTTGCTTGGGTCTCCTTGTACCATCGGTCTCTGTTGTTCCAGATCACAGCTGGGCTGGACCCAGTGGGGAGAATTCAGATGAGAACACGGAGGACCCTCCGTGGACACCTGGCAAAAATCTATGCCATGCACTGGGGGACAGACTCAAGGTGCGTGGGTGGCCCCTGCTTTAGCGCCCCTAGGCTCTGGGGTGACTCTATATAATGGGTAGAATGGTGGCACAGGATATGAGGGGACCCCAGGTCCCCTCCCCCCCAAGTCTGGTGGGGAGGGCCTTTGTAAGTTTGGGAATATTGATTCCCAGTGTCCCGAGTGGACCAGGGATGTAGGTTATACTGAGGATTTGGGGGGATGTCTGAAGAGCGTCTCTAGATGGGAAGGGATAGGGGCCGGGTGCTGTCCTCACCCTGACCTGTCTGCATCCTCCTGCCACTGCCCACCAGGCTGCTGGTCAGCGCCTCCCAGGATGGAAAGCTCATCATATGGGACAGCTACACCACCAACAAGGTAAAATTGGCACTCAAAGTGGGTAGGTTAGGGCTTCCAGTCTCTGGCTGGCTCTAACTAGGGGTGCTGCTCTCCTCTAGGTCCATGCTATCCCTCTGCGCTCCTCCTGGGTCATGACCTGTGCCTACGCCCCCTCAGGGAACTTTGTAGCCTGTGGGGGTTTGGACAACATCTGCTCCATCTATAGCCTCAAGACTCGGGAGGGCAATGTCAGGGTCAGCAGAGAACTGCCTGGCCACACTGGTGAGTGCGCCTGAAAGGCAAGAACACGTGGGGGGCGGGGGGGGCACTGGTCTCTGAAATGTCTGACCACAACCTCCTTTCCCAAGGGTACCTTTCATGCTGCCGCTTCCTGGATGACAACCAAATCATCACCAGCTCTGGGGATACCACCTGGTGAGGCTCTGCCAGGCTGGGTTCCCTGCCTCCGGGTGATCCAGGGCCCAGCAGGTGGCACGTTCCTGAGCACCTAGTCCTCCCCTCTGGGTAGGGGCCAAGTGGCTCCCCCACCACTTACGGCTCCAGGCCTTCTTTCTAGACAGTCCTGTCAGGACCTCGTGGGGTGGGAGAGCCAGGGATTCTGTCCAACTCCTATCTGATCCTTCTTTCGATGTCTCTCCAGTGCCCTGTGGGACATTGAGACAGGCCAGCAGACGGTGGGTTTTGCTGGACACAGTGGGGATGTGATGTCCCTGTCACTGGCCCCCGATGGCCGTACCTTTGTGTCAGGCGCCTGTGACGCCTCCATCAAGCTGTGGGATGTTCGGGATTCCATGTGCCGACAGACATTCATAGGTCATGAGTCTGACATCAACGCCGTGGCTGTAAGTTGGGAGAATGGTGGACAGCCCCGTACTCCACGGCCCTGGCCCCTCACCCTCACGGTCACCGGCCCAATTCTTGCAGTTCTTTCCCAATGGCTATGCCTTCACCACGGGATCAGATGACGCCACATGTCGCCTGTTTGACCTGCGGGCCGATCAGGAGCTGCTCATGTATTCCCATGACAACATCATCTGCGGCATCACCTCGGTTGCCTTCTCACGCAGTGGCCGGCTGCTGCTCGCGGGCTATGACGACTTCAACTGCAACATCTGGGATGCCATGAAGGGTGACCGTGCAGGTGAGGCTTGTGTGGGGCCCTCAGAGGGGAGAGGTACAAAGTGTGGGCCAGGCTAGTCCCCATGTCCCTCTCTTCTCTAGGTGTCCTCGCTGGCCACGATAACCGTGTGAGCTGCCTTGGGGTCACAGATGATGGGATGGCCGTGGCTACAGGCTCCTGGGACTCCTTCCTCAAGATCTGGAACTAACCACCCCAAACCCCAGATGGGCCTAGGCAGGGAGCATCCCTGCCCATGCCCACACTACAGGCCCGGGGCTTTGCAGCTGGGTACACATGCCAAGCCTCC